AACCTAAAACTACTTATCTCTTTGTTTGTCCACACAAAGGAGCCCTCCACGCTTCGGTCATTGAGTCCAATCCAGGATCTGTCTCCGTTATGACTGTGTTGAATATAAACATTTTCCTCTTGGTTGTGCACTGTCACCAGATTTGAACTCCTGGTCGAGCAATTTGCTTCTGCGGTCATCCAAGAAGCGCATACGGCACTTGTGAAGTAGCAATAACCGCCAAAGTAACTCCATCCTGGGTGGCAAATATCTAGAATTTTCAGGACACAATAAACTGAATCCAGGAACCTGTTCCGATCGTAGGTACTTACATTTCGCATACATGCCAACCCATATTCAGTTGATGAGCTAAAACAACTCTGTGTGCAATCCGTGGAGTACCAAATTCTGTTGTTCCTTATTAATCCTTGTGGTTGTGGAAAAAATAATGTTTACATATGTCTTGAGTAAGGCGATGAAATGGGATAGCCGCCTCACGTTTTGGCACCTTAACCTACAAACAAATATCTCTATTTTGTCTGTAAGGTTACTATGCATGGCGAAGTGGTTTCATATTAGGGACGGGGACTGTCTGGAAAATTTCCACATTGAAAGAAAGGAAGAACTTTAAAATTTTCTTCTATTTTGCTAATTGCAAGATAATAAATTAAAGAAGCCAAAGCTTGGACGATTCCCCGATGCATTATTGGTAGCTTTTGTTAATGCACGAACATCCTATTTTTTAACAGTTTTTAACAAAATTGTTTACTCAGATGTGCACTTTCGTAATTTTAGAACAACACTACTTACGCTGCAAGAACGAACTTAGAAATAGGTGACCGCGAAATCAGAAATAGGTGATCGCTATCGACAGTGTGTTACACACTCTGTCCAAATTGATTTCAATAATGGAATTAAATAACTGATTGAAAAAGAAGCTTCCTCAAGGGAAGTTCATAATGTTTTGACCTAGCCTTGGGCGAGGTCAGAGATTGTAAACGCAAACATTAGGGTCAATATCTTTTGACCCTTGACTTAGACTTTTTAGTAGATCTCCCCGCTAATGATTGATGACCACTCCCTTTTGAAACCCACCACTTCTTACCTGACAATACAGTGTATGATACAGAAAGCGGGTCATACTTGGATTCGTACAGTTCTTTTAAACAAACTCGGGCGCCTGTTGTGTTAATGTACTGAAAAAAAATATATATATTAAGCTGCATGTGGTTTTGGCCTCTTACACGGGTCGCCACGGTCGATTGACGACAAAAACGTTCGCTCAATTTATCCAGGTAATTTGGAAGTGTTGTGTGTGCCTTCGGCGATACTTTGATAAGGTTTTTTTTTTTTTATATATATATAAAGAATAACAAGCTATACTACAAACAACCAAAAACAACTGTGCAACAAGTAAGAATATGTAGTAAAACATTTTCAACTCTGCCCAGAATGGAAGGGGAGAGTAGAAGGCGACCGAACGTGCTCAGACTTTCAACAGCTACAACCACTAGATTCTGTTACCTTCACAGCCATTTTTAGCGCCATTTTTTGTTTACATCCAATTGTATGTGCTGCTGTGGCAACAGTTTATGAGCACGGTTGCAAATTGAGAATTTTAGGGTTAAGTTTTAATGATCCGGTTGCAAAAATATTCCCATATCAATTTTGCAAACCCAAGATGGCAAATTCAAAATGGCGGCCATTTGTGGACATAGCATTCTTGGCAGTCGATCGTATTATACGGCGTAGTTTGGTCAAGTAAGCAGCCAGAGATATTTTGTGACGTTTAAATGTTTATCGTGGGCCTAAAAAACCCGAGTATAAAACTGAATAAATTATTAAGCTTCCTTTTCCTATGTCGGCAAGTCATGCATGTTGCACGTAAGTTCTTGTATATTTTTGCCTTAGCTTGTGTCCTTTGTAAATTCATTTCTTTAATATTCGCCTAGTTGTTCCTGTTAATTTACCTCAACCCAAGTAGTAATGGAATTGTGCATGGGGTCCTGATTTCCACCAGTAGATGTATGGTTCGCTGACACGAAGATAGTCGGGGCAATATTGTACACCCTGATAAAGTGAATATCCTAAAAACAAAATTAAAAAAAGCAAGTTAAAAAAAGGATACTTTCATGTTCATCAGTCGGCAGACAGGTAAAACAGTAACGGAAGGACAGACATAAGACAGTGATAACTGACCTCGCAGAAAGCATTGTTATGATCAGCTGGAGGAATCCCAGAGTTTGCAAAATAAATAGAATCGTGTTCTGCAAAAAGAGGCTTGTGAAGTGAAGAAAACGCCAACCAGTTCTAAAACAAAATGAATTTCAAAAAAATACAGTCAACTCACTCTTTAAAGGATACCCTTAAAAGACAGCGAAACCTCGCTAAAACGGAGACATAGAGTTGGCTCCTACGTATACCGTTCTTCACTCATATTATTCAAATTTGACTCTCAATATAAGACGGGCATCTCTTTAATGGGACACCTAGAGTTGGTCCCTGTCTCTCTTCAGGAATACGCCCTGTAAGATGAGCATTTCACCAAGACGCGTACGGACATGTACACAGTAAAACCTAAAACGGACACGCCTTGAGCTGACCCCCGCCTTTTTTTTGTCGTTTTAATATATTTGACTCTCTATAAGACGGACATTTCCCTAAAAAGGGCACCTAGAGTTGGTCCCTGTCTTTCTTCAGTTACAGTATTTGACTCTGTAAGACGGACACCTCCCTAAAACAGAAACCTAGAGTTGGTCCTTGCCATTCTTCGGTTACAGTATTTGACTTAAGACGGACGCCTCCCGAAAACGTAACCAAGACTTGGTCCCTGCCGTTCCTCAGCAGCATTTGTCTCTGTAAGAAGGATACCTCCCTAAGACAGAAACCTAGAGTTGATCCCTGCCGTTCTTCAGACATATTACTTAACTCTCTACAAGACGGACACCTCCCCAAAAACGGGCACATAGAGTTGGTCCCTTTTGTTCTTCAGACAGACATATTATTTGACTCTCTATATAAGACGGGTATCTCTTTAAAGGGACACCTCGAGTTGGCCCCTGCCTTTCTTCAGGCGTACGCCCTGTTAAGATGAACATTTCACTAAGACGGACATGTACACAGTAACACGTAATTTGAAGCTGAAGCTGAAGCTGCAAACTTTGACCAAATTAGGCGAACATTTTCAATAAGTGGAAGTGAGACGAAGTGTTACATGACTTTCCTTGTATGGAGGTCATCGTCCAACTTATATTCATATGGAAACTGGTACTAAAAGACCCTGAATTATCAGTTGTTAACAGCAACAAACTGTGGCGTCAGAGGCTAAAGGTTGATAGCCCCTATTACGCGGGAACATTTTGATGTTAAAAACACTATTTCACTTGAGCAGGGTTGAAATGAAAGGAAGACTTTAATACAAGCCCACTCTTTTTTATTCATTTACATACATGAATTCTTCCAATTAGTTACCATTCAGTTCCCAAAGTCGAAAATCACTTGCAATTTGAGAAAACGTGCCTTCAAATAAAACCGTTTAGTTACAGTTTTACACATTTTTTATACCTTTACGGTGACTATAAAGTGGTCGAAAGTAAGGGATCTTGGCTGTCCAGGTCCTAACCTCAGAGCTAATTCTCAATCTATCTCAAACTGACACTGAATCAGTGATTATATTTATAAGTTGTGATGAAATTATCCTAAATGCTTACAACATAAATGTCCTCGTGGGAGCCAGCGTAATTTTGCAGTTCCCGTAAACATATTTTGACGGAAGATTGTGTGATGTCCTCTAACCAAATACTGGCGGCGTCTCTCTTCAGTCCGGCACGGTGATGTTCTGCGGTAACAAACACTGAAGGATCCTTTGAAAACTTGCCCTGATTGGAAAATGGTACAAAATTAAGTATAGGAATAACAGGCAATGAGGTAAAGCAAAATACGCTTTGATGGCGTCTAACTGCCACTTTAATGGATTTTTCTTGACAAAATGGTCCGTGTCATTTCATATACCATTTCATATAACAGACCTTGAGCCCTTTCTTGTAATGTCTGGTAACTTCTCTGGGTTGAAGTGTAGTTTGCATTACAAATCCGAGCAATAAATAATCTAGTCCATTTGTCTCATAATCCGATAGTTTTTTTGACGTTACTTACAAAACTAGTAAAACACTGACCTTTGATGTGAGGGAAATATACCTTTTCAGCTTGAATTCTTGTTTTCACAATAAAGATCACAACGTTATATGCACACATATGCACTAGCGAAAAGGACGACATTTGAAAAAAAGAAAAATAGCTAGTTCTGATGAGGTAACCTCTCGTAGTCTGAAATGGGAAAACAAAATATACGAGCCAAAGAGGTCTTTTAAACAATTTTTCAATGAACTATTCAGAAAATTTATTATAAAAAAGTCACGTGTTTGCTTTATATTTTCATGGTAGAGCTATGATGGAAGCCCGGTAGGGGTAGTGATAGTGAGTGATACTGTTAGTCGTCGTCGTCGTAGTCAGAAGTAGTTAAGTAGTAGGTACGCGTTTTGAAAAGATCTACTGGACTTACCGAAGGGAAACTCACAGTCTTACAAGTCGTTCCAGTCCACCACTGTGACATGCGCACCTCTCCAGTGACCCCACCCACTGGAGCTCCCTGATAAGCTATCCAGTCTATGGACACATTAGCACTGGACTTGCGCTCGTTATACCCTGCCGCCATCACGCACCCAGTGAATTGTTCGTAACTTACATCTTCAATCCACGACACAGCAGCATCGTGGACATATGTTATGTCACTGGTATCGATGTGATTGACAGTTATCTGTACTTGGATAGGTTTGTCAGGATAAAATACAAATGGTCGGAAACGAACAGCTTCGCAATGAGAGTACCCCAAAGATGGTATGTGGGGCATGTGAATTCGACCTCGCTGGAATGGGAACCCTGACAAAAAGAAACGGAAATAAAAAACAAAAAGAACAAAACAAAACAAAAATCATTAAATTATGGTAAATGCATACAGCAAAATGAAAGCAGTAACAAAAACGTAGCCTTCATTGAATGCGTAAATGATTTTTGTAGGTGTTGGTGTGAGTTTTTTCCTAAAATGCTTACAGTTGACAGTCTAATTCTGATGTTTCAGATAAAGTCTTTAGAAACTAATAATAAATGAGGAGCATACTGAGTTGCTAACCTTCACAACCACCGGGATGTTGGACAGTGTAGTTGAGTCGCAACAGACACATTTCCTGTTCAAAGAGACACCTATTATCAAACGTAGTTCCGTTGGAGGAACATATGGGCTCTTGGTAGGATGGGCAGTTTTCTGCGTGCACGCAGCGGGCATCGTATGGTCCAAAAGCCTTACAAAGACAGTGGTAATCACAAGTTACGTTCAGACAAGGATCCAGATCTAGTAGGAGTGTACAAAAATCACGTTTCACATAAGTCTAAACTCGATAAAACAACAACAACATAGTGAAAGATACAGTTTACATAAATGTTTAACCGCACAAATTTATCTAGGCCTATACCTTTTTCCTGACGCACCGATTGTTCTGGAAAATTTATCCTGTGTGTCATTCATTAACCGCTTACTAAACCTCACAAACATAACACAACAAGCCAGACATAACCAGGACCAATAGAATAGGCCTTTTTCAATAGTTGGTCACGTGTTTCCACCAGACGGCTCTTCCATTACACATAAGTTCTAATTCTCGGGGGGTCTTTCGTAGGGAAATTCTTGGTCGGGGTGTGCCGCACAAAAGCGCGCGTGAGACCAATCTCCTTTCTTGCGCAGGCCTCGCAGGCTTTAAAATACGGTGTGCACGTAACTATAAAGGCTTGAATTTAAAACGGATCTGCCTGTTTATCTTAAATGACAAACAGCTCTTTTTATTCTCATTTCTTTGTACTAAGTAAGTATTTTTACATACCTCCAATAACCAGGAAGTCGACTTTAATGGTATTGTTACTGATCCTATCGTAGTTTCGTACACAGATCTTTGTATCTGTTTTGGTTGAATTCTTTAAATGAAATAAAATATTCGATTAATTTTCTTTTTTTTTCTTATAATAATCATGTAGTCCAGTATCGTCAAAGTTGCGTCCTATAAATCTCGTATATTCTAATATATATAACATGGGCCACCGAGATCTCCTACCTTACTAAAAAATTCTTGAACATGTAACGTGAACGTGCTTTTTTTATCATCAGGTGGTGCATTTTTTGCAGTTAACAATGATACAGTAAAGGAACAACAATCTTACCTCAACCCAGGTGGTGACTGCGTTACAACCAGAAAGCAAATTGTTGCCACTGTAAACGTATTTTGGTGTTATTAACACCACCGGAGGAGCAAAGAACGGATCTGCGAAGGTGATGTTCTGGTAAAGAAAAGCAATGAATTATTTAAAAGAAGTATTTGGGCAGCTATGTTGCAAACAAACGAACAAGCAAACACACAAACAAACAAACAAATAATAATATCAAGCTATGCTCAGACACATTCGATTATAAGAGAACGAATGCAATTCAAATGGACATTGCACAACAGTGCAATTTAAAAATGTTACCTTTTAACTTCTTACGTATACCTGACAAAGGGCGAAGTTATCTTGCGATCGAGATAACGATCTGTTGTTGGTAAATGTCAAACTATCAGCCAAAGTAAAATTTTGAACCCTCAGATTGGTAAATGCCATCCAGTTCTGCTTAAAAAAAAAAAACATATGAAAAAGGACGTCGGATTATCATTTCAAAAACGAAGAAGAATGTTGACCTACAAGTAAACAGGTTATAAAGCCTCTCTAGCTCAGCCCGACAGAAAAGTGGGTAGTGGTTAGATTTCTCCTGTCTATACCAGTTGTGAAAAATAAACAATTTGCTTTATTAGTTAGTGACCAAATCTTACATCTCGCCATATACATCTCCATTTATAGAAAGATAGCCTGAGTGTTTCACGCGTTAAGATTGCAGGGCGCGGGCGTACGATTGAACTCGCTGTCCGCCACCATCTAAACGTCTAGAACAGGCTAATAGAAAGAGAGCATTTTAATGTTTGGAAGAGAAATTTTAGTGGGGTTTACCGTAAATCCTCTATTAAGCCCCCCCTCTCAGATAAGCCCCCTTCCTCTAATAAGCCCGCACTCTCAGCGGAAGAAAGTTAATAAGCCCTCCCTCTCTATTAAGAACTCGGAATTCAATTATAGACAGGCACGTCAAATTTACTCACAACTTTAATATTCTGATGAAAACCGTCGAAAATCTTTATTTCTCGGAGGCAAATTTTGAAACTGCTTTGGGTCAAATCCTCCACCCACACGGCCATGGCATCCTGAGGTCGCTCTGGAACCTGGTGACTAGGAGTCACAAGTATAGTTGGAAGGGACTGGAAACGCTAGGAAGAAATCAGAACGAACGTATAAATTAGGAATAGTAGCGAGCTGACGAGGTAGTTGGAATGGTGTGAGATTTAAAGGTGTGCGCACCTGGGAAGGTAAGTTAATGTACCGAAGGCGCTTCAAACTAGGGGAGTCCGGGGGCCATTTCCTACGTTTTCCTCGGAATATTTTCGGTAGATAAATACGAGGGAAAAATGCAGTAGTTAGTTGCTTTTTTACCCATCTCTATTGTTATTGGTAATTAATGTTAAAGGGAAAAAAGTAAAACTGCAACGCAATCAAAGAGGTTACAAGCAAAGGGCAAGACGGCAACCCTTAAGACGGGCAAACTCTGTTACAACGCCATCAATATCAATTAACGTCCTTGTGCTTGTGTATGTGCAGAATTGCAAGGAGCTTAATCTCTCGTCTCTCACCCCACTATAACGTTTCTTGCAGTGAGCCGTTGATAGAACAATAAGGAGGAAGAAAATACTAAAAAAAGGGCTCCAATATAATGCAAAAAAAAATTATCTGTCATCCCGGTTTTATGAAAAAGTGTTTTCAGGTACTAAAAAAGATTTCAGCTGTACGCACGGGCTTGTGTGCGGATATGAACGCTTCGCTCCTGGCAAGACAACAGGATACAGTTACTCATTTAATTGACAATAAGTAGATTATACGTATAAATAGGAATTAATGACTGACCAGTGTTTAGTAATGACTATAAATAGAATGAGTGATTGCTTGTAAATTAAATCAAAGGGATAGGTCATTGGAATATGTTTTTATGGATAAGTATTGGTAAAATTTAAGTGGAAGTTTAAGCCTCTTAAGTCACTTGGTGTAAATAATACGGGAAAATGTACACTTATAGTTCACGTGACAAGAAAAATTTTAAAATAATATTTCCATGAACTTTTGGCCGTCTTCAGTCAGACCATCTTCGATGTTAGAAAAGCGTCAAAAGTACACACTGTTCCAAAACAAAATAAAATACCAGAAATGCCAGCACTGTGAAGATGAAATTACATTTTGTTTTCTGAAAATATTATTCATATGTTTACCTTAAAATGGTTTATGGGGAATTGCTAGATTAATTTTTAGCGAAATTTGCCAAGGGGCATTCAGTAAAAGACAATATTCCTTAGATTTAAAAAAAATGTTAAGAAACGTTTTACTTTTTATGCATTTATCTCTTTAAGACTGAAAATATTATAAAAAACGGGAATGTCGATCAACATTTAATAATCCTGAAGTTTGTATAATTGATAAAAGACAGTATATCGACAGCCTTAAATTTAGTCTTGAAAGGGTTAAGTTATTCAAACATCAAACATCCGGCTAAGATTTCAAGGACTCAGTGTCAAGTGTCAACTTAATATTCATAATATGTCACTAAAACAACTAGAAACAAAATATATTTTTTCGGATTGACATCTGTCCCAAGTACCCGATACGGCTAAGGCCGGGGTGGCCGAATTCCATATATAAACGTGGAGTCATGCATGCACAACAACATTGTTGTACATCGAAACATCTCAAGCAAGATTAACCCTTTAAGCCCTAAGAGTGATCGATCAGCATCAAATTTCTCCTTGTAATATCACTACTTTATAAAAGAGAGTGGTCATGAGAATTAAGGACATGATCACACAAGATGGATCCAATTGATACGTCAGGGTTTAAGGGGTTAATAAATCGCGCAGTCAAAAGCAACAAAATGAAACCATTTAATCCACTTCGGTAAATAAATCTGGAGCTGCCCATTTTCCTGGCTTACAGAAGAGTTCGTTTTAAACTTCACTTGGCTATTAAGCCAGCCCACCTCGACACTTGCTCGATCGCAGAAAATCCCTCACCGTTTTAACCCTTTTTAAAAATTCAAATTCTCGTGTGTTACCTGTATACGTTTTCAATAGAAGTAGTGGGGAGAATTTGTTGAAGTATCAGTTATATTCATCTTGTGTGATCATGTCCTTAATTCTCATGACCACACTGTGTTACAAAGCATTGATATTACAACGGGAAAATTGATGCTGATCACTTTTAGGGCTTAAAGGGTTAATCTTTGATTTTTACGTCCGGAGTCGCTGCGGCGAATAATGTTATTTGTTGTATTCGGTTTTATCTCGTCACTATTTTATCGTAGTATTAAACAAACAAACAACAACAATGACAACAAAGCTAACCTGGGGAAATTCAATCCTTTTGCATTCTGTCCCAGTAGTCCAGGAGTCCAAGAGGGTTGTTCCTAACTGCGCCCCTGATGGTGAAGATTGCATGGCGACCCAATTAAATTCCGCTGTTTTGTTTGATCCGTCGCTGTATTCATAGACGCAAGCGCGGAATTGGTTTGCATCCTCCGATTCCACCCAAATAGCAGCACCATTAGAATGAGCTGAGTTGTTAACTGCGTGGCCAAATGAGGCTAAGACTTTCACTTCTTTTCCACCCGGGAAAGGTTGAGTGAAGGAGATCTGCTTGCAAGCGAATAAGCTTCCGCCCGCTGCAGCAATATTGACTTTACCGGCCTTAAAACTAGCTGCTATAAAGAAAAAAGGAGTAGTCACTAGATAAAAGATGAAAATTTAGCTAAAAGAAATATAGTTTTTAACGAGTTTCAACTATAATTGACAAACTTTATTAAGATCCCGGCTTCGTGTATATGCCCCACCCCCTAAACTCCTAGCCGTTTGTTGGTTTTCTCTTTCAAAAAAAGGCTGAATTTCCACAGTCCTTTGAAAAGTTTAAGCTTTAAAATAACAACAATCGGTTCAGTTTGTTAGAATCATACCACGTTCCCTTTTCAAAACTCGCCTTGAAAGAAATCGAGTAACTCGTGACCAAGGATAGGAGAGCTTCTTAATAATTGTCTTATCATCTTTCCTGGGCTGATCGGTGAGCTGGTGCCGGAGTGGAATATTTTGACATGTTGTAATAAAGTGCAATAAGTTACCTTCAATCCTCTGGGGAAAGAGCACCGTATAAGGTACACAGCAAAAAAGTAGCAGCAGAATATTGCGCTCTCCAAACATTCTGCTTCCAGTACAAAAGTGAATTTGAGATGCAAAGCACGCATTTTTGTACGTGTTGGATCCATCGACCTGTCCAGACATGTAACTGACTTAAAAATTTGAGGGGGAACCAAGCAAACTGTGGGAGGAGGCATTTCAGATTGCCACAAGGTCCCAAAAGATGCTATCTAAATTGAAGGTAAAAACACCCTTTCATTCCTAATCCAGTGGTTTATACTAACATCGGTATCCCCTCCCTCCAAAGATTCCTCAAGTGTTACGTTTCTTTGTTTGTTTTTTCTGTTACTGTGCCAAACGGAAAGCTTAGAGCCTTCTTGGTAATAAGCTTTCACGTTCATGTCAACGTTTGTTTAAAGTGACACCAGTTTGACACGGCTTAACAACTAAAGTGCTCAAAATGAAACCGCAGTTTATGAAGGGCATAAAGTGAAACTGAAATATTGGAATCACGAACGCACATGCAAGCAAAATATTTTTGACTTATTTTTTAAGCGAGAGGATATTCTTGTGTTTAGAATACCCTTATATTAACGTTGACTTATCGACTACTTAATTTTAGAGGAGTGCTTGCATGTTACTAAGTAAAGTGTAGTTGGAAAGACGTCATTAATTGTGTATGCAGTGTTTACAGCTATTTCGAGAAAGGTTGTCGGAAAAAGTGCACGCGACAATCCCGACAGCTATTGTGGATGGTTTTGAGTGCACTGGTTATCAAAAAAATTTGAAAGAATGATACGGGATGTTTGCGATGTTATGTTTGCGATCGCTACAGGAAAGCAACCAAAGTAGGTTCGACAGCTACAGTCGATAGGAACAGGGTATTGATCATATCCCATATTACCTTTCGGGATTGTCGCGTGCACATTTTTTCGACAACCTCTCTCGAAATAACTGAATGCTTATTGTTATTTTTTGATGGGAACCTCACCTTTTGAGCTGAGACTGAGTCAAGACCTTAAGGTTCTCATTTATGGGGTGGTCTAGGTATCCTCAAAACGCCATGAAGTTCTAATTTGAGGTCCTTTTAGCTTTATATTGAATTATAAAATGGGTTTGGCAGGCCTGCACGAGGTTGGCAAGAATGAGCTGGAGTGGAGACTGTGCATACTAACAACACCACGGTCTATATAGTCAGTGATATGTCTAGGTGCAGCGTTTAAAAATACATACGTAAATAGGTAAATGGTTTAGAAACGCCAAATTTTGAATCTAGATATTCGAAACGTTCACCTTTCAGCTCCCCGTGCAGGTTATTCAATTCACTGTAGACGTATAGGAAATCATGGTGTGATCTGCGTATTTTTTCACTACGCAAATATAGCTATGACTACTTGTTTTTTATCACGTTGAAATCCGTATTAGATCATTCTGCAAGAACAATATTGTTCTGCAACCTGCTCAATGCCGAAAGGTCACAAAATTAATTCCGCGATTTAACGTGTTGGTGCCTGTATATTTAATCCTACGGATAATTCTTTGGCTCAATGTATCTTCTTTATCAGTTAAACATGGCCATACTATTCCCTTACAACCTTTACAATTCTCAGTTTTATGAACAGTTGATAATTAAAGTTAATTGTCTACCACAGAAGAACGAAGAACTTAGTTTGCGCCAGCTCCTCTTCAGACTGACTGACACTCTTTGGCAGATGAAAAAAATGTTATCGACCATGCCATTTTTTGTTTTTTTTGTAACGTTGATCACGCGTTGAAGAACATGTAAAGACTTGCTCTATTTTCTTAACTTCAAGTGTTTTAAATTAAAACTCTTTACTAGCTGGTTTTAATTAGCAAGGACCAAGTCTTCCCAGTTGAATCACGAACCTAGTATCGCTAGGCCACACCTGGTTTTGTTTATTCTGACGGACGAAAATTGAAAAATATTATTGCTGTTGCGCATCAATAAATTTTGTCTTCGTATACTGCAAAAAGGTCCCAAATTAAAAACACTGCTTGTATAATTATATCAACGAGTACAAGTCAAGTGTATTTTAAACATTGTTCATCAGGAGTTATAAATTCAGAACTAGCGTGACCCTACTATAAAAAAAGGTGACAGGCCAATAAGGTGGGTGACTCTTTGAGCAGAGCCAACTTTATGTTTCTCATGTAAACGGTTCGCCAAGTTGTTTTAAGGAAGAGTTGGCTTACCCAGGGTAGCTCGGGTAGGCGAGTGTACACAGGCAAGAGATCGTAATTAGGACAATTTTCACCCGGATAAACAGGGCCTTAGTCATGATTCCAGCGATATTTAAGCGTACACCTAGTCTCTTGTTATTATAAATCTCAATATGGAATTAAAATGATCCTTGTGAAGAAATCAAAAGTATGTTTTTAAACTCAATGCATAATGCAGATAACGGTATAGTAAGCAGCTCTAGGTAAAAATTAAGTCAGAGTAGAATATGTTGTTCATATTAATGTTATATTCACTTGACCACGTCCAGCTGCATTGTAACAACATTCATTTTGCTGATTCCTTCCAGTATTGTAAGATTCTCCCCCTCCTCCACAGGACTCATTACATTCTCTCCGCAACCTCCCCCAGAGTATCCTCCCCCTCGGCCAGCATCAATTCCGGCTCCATATGGACCTCCACCTCCATCAAAACCTGTGTCAGCATTGTTCTTCCAAGCTCTTCCGCCCACTCCTCCTTGAAGAAATCCTTTGCCTCCTTCACCACCATTTCCCATTAAACCTTCGAACTGAGTTGAAATTCTTCCGCTGGAGTAGAACCTACCACTGCCACCAGTTATAATTACATTACAGGCGTTTAGATTCGAAGACGAGGGCCACTTGAAGAACGCGATTTGAATTTTACACGCGCCAGTGAACCTAATTAATCAAATGTTAGAAGCTTTATCATTTTCCGCTCGAAAGCCGAGCCGCTTAACTGTGCTACTTTTTCTGGTGAAAAAAAAAAAAAAAAAAAAAAAAAAAAAAGAAAAAGATAAAGAAAAGCACATTCATGCCAGGGTGTCGATATTTTGATAATATTCGATAAAATCTTCAAGTTAAACCTCGTCCTCGTACACGTGTCCTCGTTCTCGACTAATAGAATTAATGTTTAAATAATATTTTTTGTTTTTTGCTCTCGTTTACTTCTTAATCGCCTTGCCGTTATGGATCAGTTTGCCGTTTCATATTTTTCTGATAGAATGTTGTTTCGAGTACATGCAAACAAATCAATAATAATAATAATAATGATAATAATAACAATACTTAACAATTACTATTTAATGATGATGGACTGACTCAGGACTGACTAAAGGACATTCGCAAAGACGAGATTCTTTTCAGAATATTTTACTATTTCTCGGGCGAAGAATATCGTTTTTTTTTTTTAATATATATACCAAGGATCTCATAGATAGAGGTTCGTTATATCGAGGTTCCACTGTAAACATTTCACGGCTTATCCCTTTTCACAATCACTTATTAATTAAAGTGGTCACTATAAAGAATTTTACACTAGCCAACAACAATGTACTGTAATTTGACATATATAGTCAGCGAGGCATTCTTATGAATTTTAATTTGTAGATGAGTTGGGTGAGGGTGGTTCTTTGTAGCCATACACTCTCAGCTCTAGGCTCCGTCTCCAGTCGTGGGTGTACTGTGGGCGTCTTGAACTGCATTTCCCTCTATTCATGACAAGTATTCTGCTGTTAGGCGTTAGGGGTTAAGTTGTAGTGTTTATGACTGGGAAAATGCCTGAATTGACTAACTATTTTAAAATGCGAGCACTAGAGACATTTTATACTAACAATCGATATCTTTATGGGGAAAAATATTAGCTTTCCGTTCATAACACCCAATTTGAGGCTAAAATTTACCATGTCTTTACCCCTCAGTGAGACGACAAGCATGACCGTCTCTTTCACATGAGCAAAAGAGATTTCCCCCTTCCCAAATCCAGAGGAACCAGGCACATGTTGAGATAAGCATAGATGATTTCTTACTAAAGGGACAAGTTCTACCATTCCCTGAATTATCTTGATTTACATGCACAGGAGTATGATTATTGGCTATTGGTACACAAGGGGTTAACATCACAGCTCTGAACATTGGTATGTAGAACCCTCGTTTACGCCGTCTAAAAGTGGAAATGACGTTTCAGGTTATTAGTATAAGTAGATATTAATTTCTTCCTATTTGAGTGACGTGCAATCATTGACGTCACAACTATGGGAGTTAGTAGTGCATTCATTTATGTCTGGAAGAGAACAAGGGAGGGTGAGAAACAAATATTTTTTGGCCCAGTAAACATGCCATTAGCACAAGTTAACACCAATGATAACAGACTTCGCCCTCTTTATCTATGGGAAAATATTTATTATGAATCGAAACTTGTTTTTACTTGCAACACTTCAGTTGGGGAGAAAAACTGGAAATTTTGAGCCGACGCTATACTGGAAAAAGAGTGTCAGGGTAAGAAGTAAAAAAGGGCGTTCAGTCTTTTTTGCTGTATTTGTTTGAAACTGTTCTTACCATGACATTGTTTTCCATCTTTACATGAACACGTGTGTGAGCCCACAGTATTTTGACAAACAGCATTGACGTGACAGCTAGGAGAGTAATCAGTGCACTCGTTTGTGTCTGAAATTAACAGCAGAGGCACGAAATTGTTTTACCACAATGAAAATGAACAACGCAAAATTGGGCGTCTAGACATGTTTCCGCGTGCGAAATTTACAGGGATTGTTAGTATGCTCATTGTTATAGCATCGACGTTAACAGACCTTTCGCATATTGTAGCTGATTTTTGGCCTTTTGAATTAAGTTACCGGTACTATTTGAACGAAGAAGAAAAACTTTATCCCCAAGCAAACTGAATTCGGAATGCAAAGTAACACCTTTTTGACTTGAAACAACGCTTGAATCGGGACTCTCTACACTCCACAAAGGCTTTGCAAGTTTTTCCGTTTCCAGAAATATGAATCAAATTTGCATCTGCAGCTATAAAAGACCCACGAATGTCCGAACATTGAGCATTGACATCACAGAGGGGAGAGTTCCAGTATTTATTTGAATGTCTACCAACATCTCCCTTAGTTCTGCATTACTGGGCTCACCTTCGGCGTTTATTGCTTCATTTGTCGCTTCCACTAACTCCGCGGCCTCTTCCTCTTGACATTCCGCCATGTTGGCTCTTTTAAGTGTCGATGGTTCTTCTTCTTCCACTGATCCTCGAGCTCCTCGTTTGTGTTTTCCTCCTAATTTCTGCATTTAATACTTCAGCAAGTGTTTAAACGTTGAATTATTATGTCAAGGCGGTATAAAGTTCTCTAAAATTGGCGTAAAGGGACAGAAACTACGCTCCTCACAAAACGTGCCACCGCACACTGACCCCACGCATGCTTTCAACCACCTACACCTACGCGAAAACAAAACAATCAGAAGCGAAATGACCGATCTCAAGCGCACAATTCAACATCAAACAGACGATATAACTGCGTTGAAATCATCTCTAGAACATATAACGAAGCAGTACAACGAGGTAGAACGCGAGCTGGTGGCAGCAAGAAAGAAAATTCAAGAGCAGGAAGAAGAAATTGGTGAATTGTACGATCTTCAAGACAAACTAGAACAATACACGAGGAAAAACTCAATAGAAATACATGGTGTACCAGAAAGCGCCTACACCGAGACGGAAGACGTGGTGTTAAAATTAGCGGAGGCCCTAGATGTATCGGTGGAACCAAAGGATATCGAAATATGTCACAAGCTGAACAGGAAGGGTAACAAACCAATTATTGTAAAATTTATAAGCCACAAAGTCAAAACAAATCTATACAGGGCTAGGGCTAAGCTAAAAAATGTCAGAGTTTCTAACATCTTCCCGCAGTGCTCGTCGTCAACTCTAGTGCAAGCCGACAGAATTTTTTTAAACGAGAATCTTACCTCGTACAGGAAAAAAATAATGAATCGGGCAAACGAGATGCGGAGAAATGATGAATTGTTGAGTGTCTGGTCAATGGATGGATCAATATATGTCAAGACCTCTCCGCAGGGTAAGCCGGTCAGAATTAATGAGCTGGAAGACTTAGATTATCTTTAAATGTCCAATCGTCTGGCCAAGGAAGACAAAAACTGTAACTTACATTTGGGACAGGAACAAAAAACGCAAAGTTCGGAGAAGAAGAAGGGAAACGCTCAAAAACTACTTTAATTTACGTTTTGTATAATTTTAGTTTTGTTTGCTTCTGTATTTTTTTTTTTTTTTTAAATTTGCATATATATTCTTCTTGTTTTTTTGTTTTTTTTTTTTTTTTTTTTGTAATGCAAGAGAAAGCAAAATACGATATACTTTCTCTAAACGTAAGGGGAATAAGAGATCAAGCCAAACGGAGGAGCATTTTTCTATATCTCAAAGATCATAACTCAAAAATTTATTTCTTGCAAGAAACTTACTCTCAACCAGAAGATGAAATTATTTGGAAAAACGAATGGGGAGGTGAAATATTTTTCTCTCACGGATCCAGGCATAGTAAAGGTGTTTGCATTCTTTTACACCCTACGGTACAAAATAAGATCGATTACTCATTCAGTGACAAGGCTGGAAGAATCGTGCTAATTACTTGTGTTCTGAATTCTCTAAAATTATCACTGGTGAATATTTATGCCCCGAATAGCCAAAGTGAACAATTAGATTTCTTACAAAACTTAAACAATTGCCTTATCGACAAGTCAGAAATTTCCACGCTTATTGTAGGAGGCGACTGGAATTGCACACTATCAAAGATAGATAAAATTGGTGGCACAATTTGGAAACCAACAAATTATCGAAACCTGATTTTGACAACTATGGACGCTTTCGATCTCGTAGATATTCAAAGATTACGTCACCCGAGGCTACGTAAATACTCTTATGAATCAAAAGTGTTAAAACTGAAATCCAGAATAGACTTTTTCCTAGTTGCCAAAAATCTGACACAACATGTGAAGAAAAGCGAAATTTATCCTTCTATAGCTCCGGATCACCGAGCAATTTACATTTCTTTGTCTTGGACAACTGAAAAGTCTAGAGGACCCGGACTTTGGAAATTCAACAACACGTTACTGAAAGATGAACATTATGTGTCCAAAATCCGTGAAACGTACTCCCGCACACGCGCTTTTTACTCCAATTTGGCAGATGCACGCCTTCTTTGGGAAATGTTAAAAATGGAAACCAGAGCGGCAACCATTGCTTATAGTAAAAAGAAAGCTAAAGCGACCACTAATAGAGAATTGGAAATTAGGAGACAGCTCGAAATTCTGGACCGCAATATTTGCGACAACTTTAACTCTCCCAATATCGCGCACATCCTAAATGAATATGAAGATCTCAAAATGGAACTCCAATCTATTTATGAGGAGAAAGGGAGGGCAGCTATTTTCAGATCGAAATGTCGATGGGTCGAAAAGGGCGAACGTCCAACAAAGTATCTCTAGATTTTCGGAAAGCTTTTGATTCTCTAGAATGGTCGTTCATGATGAAAGCACTGGATATATTCAATTTCGGAACAAGTATAAAAAGATGGATCAGTACATTCTATACAAAAATTGAGAGCGCGGCGATAAACAATGGTTTCATGACCAACTGGTTTAGACCGTCAAGAGGAGTGCGACAGGGGTGTCCCCTTTCTCCGTACTTATTTGTGCTTTCCACGGAGATATTATCCAGCAAAATCAGACAAGAACCAAGTATAACAGGAATCAAAATATTCGGGCACGAAATCAAATTGAGCCAATTCGCAGACGACACAAACCTTTTCTGTGCAGATTTGATCTCCGTTGAAAATGCTTTGAAAACGGTGGGAGATTCTGGGAGGCTAGCGGGGTCTCAAGTTAAACATAAAGAAATCGAAAGCAATTTGGTTGGGAAAATGGGAAAAAAACAAAAGTTATCCTTTACAACTAAAATGGTTACATAGTCCGGCTCGCCTCTTAGGAATTCATGTCTCTTATGATGAGAAGGGTAACAATGAATTGAACTTTAATCTGAAAATACGAAAACTTCAAACAAAGCTGGATATGTGGAGATCTAGAGATCTCACACTATTTGGGAAGGTACTGATAATTAAGTCCCTAGGATTGTCACAATTAATTTATTCAGCTTCAATTCTTAATGTTCCCGAAGATATCGCAAGCACAGTGAAAACAAAGTTTTTTAGTTTCTTATGGAAAAACAAAAGGGATAAAATTAAACGAACTGGGCTCTATCAGGATCTGGGAAGAGGCGGAATACGTATGGTAGACATCGACATAATGTTTAAAGCTCTAAAACTAGCCTGGATTCCAAGATTACTGATTCCAGGGAACCAGAATTGGAAAACAGTTCCTGATTATTACCTAAGAAAATTCGGAGGTTTGAACTTTTTACTGAGATGTAACTACGATGCGAAATACATAAAATCTATTCCATTGTTTTACCGAAATATTCTAGTATACTTCAGTGAATTTAAAACTCTGTACAGCTTTGATCAAGCACAAAATATAATTCTATTCAACAACAAAGAAATACTTGTTGACAGTAAAACCTTTTTTATCAGGGAATGGTTTAAAAAAGGTATCCTGTCAATACAAGATCTCTTACACAATACCGGCCAACCAATGACCTATCAGGAATTTACGAATAAGTATTCCTGTAAAACTAACTTCCTTCAATACTATCAAGTTATTAGCGCTACCCCAAAGCACCTATTAGCCAAAGCAAAATCAACGAAGCCAATTAATAAAGAGTTATATTCTGATAATAATCTTAGTCTACAATTAAATGAATCGATAACTCTATATCTGAACAAAATCAAGACTAGCGACTTCTATACGTTATTATGCACAAAAATCCACACAACAGGTCATTCTGGGCCACAGAGATGGAGCAAAGATCTTTCCTTGGATGAAGATAAATGGGAAAAAATATTCACCTCCCTAAAAACCGTCTGTAGAGAGACCAAATTAAAGGAATTTCAATATAAATTAATCCACCGAATTGTAGTCACCAAAAAGGAACTTTACCGCTATGGAATCAAGGAAGATGATGAATGTATATATTGTGGTGAAAAAGACTCTATTAATCATACTTTTAGAGATTGTCATTTCGTCAAGATTTTCATTCAACGGGTTATCAACTGGTTCAATATAGAAAACAAGATCAATTTCAACCCATCTAGCGAAGAAAGACTGTTCGGCATCCTCTCGGACTTACATGAAAAGGTACTAGTAAGGAAATTCAATTATACCATGTTGTTTATGAGATACTACATCTACGCCAACAAACTACACAACAAACCAATTCTCCTCCAAGACTTCGTTGGTAAAATGATAATTAAATACAGAATTGAAAAGCTATAAAATAGACATGAAAAGTAACTCCTCTGACCTTTTTTTTTTTTTTTTTTTTTTTTTTTTTTTTTTTTTTTGTGTGTGTGTTTATGTGGGGGTGTGTGTGCGTGTGATGTACTAGAATTGTAAGTAGTGTAACCATTGTAATTATTAGTAGTACGAGCATCGTATGGATGGTATTGTCAGTATAGTCAGTATTGTAAATAGTGCAAGTATAGTGAATATGGTTAGTAGTATTTAGTTTCAGTAGTGTTTAGTACTGTAAACATTTAA